GGGGTGTAACCTTCACCCTGTGAACGGTTTACAAGTTCTTAAAACTTGTTGGTGACTCTTTTCCTCTATCTTCTTTCCCTTTGGACGCCACCATGCTTAAGTGTATGATCACAGTGGGGTTTAAGCTAGGGGTAATGCTTGAAATATTCCCTACACAACCTAGGAGGTTTCTTTGTCCATAATTCATATGGAATCTTTTCTACAGCTTTTGATGGTGCACGATTTAGTGTTAGTGCCGCAGTAGAAGTGCGTGTCCCCTGAAAGAGATAAGAAGATCACTAAGACCCATTATTGATTGTACCATGTCTAACAAGGTCCGATTTCTCCTTTCGGATACTCCGTTCCATTGTGGAGTTCCCGAAGGTGTCAATTCTGAAAGTATACCCTTTTCTTTCAGATGGTCATCGAATCCTTGGCTCAAGTATTCACCACCTCGATCCGATCGAAGGGCTTTGATTTTTTTGCCAAGCTGATTTTCATATTCACTCTGAAATTCTTTGAACTTTTCAAACGATTCAGATTTATGCGACATTAGGTAGACATAACTATTTCTACTATAGTCATCTGCGAAGGTGATAAAATATTGGTGTCCATTTCTTGTGGTTGAGCTCATTGGTCTACATACATCAGTGTGTATTAGACCTAATAAGTCTCCTGCCCTTTCTCCTAGCTTGGAGAATGGCTGCTTAATCATATTGCCAAATAAACATCCCTCGCAGTTCTCAAACGATTCTAAATCGAAAGAGTCAAGAACACCTTCTTGTAGAAGTCTCTTGTTGCGTTTGATGTTAATGTGGCCAAGACGACAATGCCACAAGTAAGTTTGGTTTGACTCCATGGTCTTTTCTCTTTTGGTATTATCATAACAATTTTGTCTAAAAACACAAAAGTTGTAATTTCCATAAATATAAACAAGAAATTTAAACAAAAGGTCTTGTGATCAAGGTTTAAAATGACGTTCAACGTCGCAAGATCAAAGTATGGTAGATAAAACTTAACAAGTTTTAGAATTTAGACAAAATACATGAGATTACAAGCTTTCTTTGGATAGATTTTCTTCATCTTCCACTTGTGTACTCATGACCACTTGAAAAACACCGCTCATTTCGTTCCTAAAATAAGAGCAAAAATGAGTCAATTTTCCAGTATCTAATACATTATAAATTGCTTTTTTTCAAGTGTGTGGATGATACCTGAGATTGATGCTATCTTTCCTCTTGCCTTATCTTCCAGATACTCGCTACATTCTCTTTTGTAGTGGCCTTGCTTACTACAATAGAAGCTGTGCATGTTTGCCTTGTTTTTGAACTCCTTTTTCTTGAGCCTTAGAGCAAACGTAGCCGCCTTACAAGAATAAATTTTCTAGAGCTCTTGGACAACTTCTTTGTAGGAAATTTTGTTCCGATTGTTGGTAAGTCGCATCTTAATTGCAACATATCCCAAGTGGAGTGAGATTAAAAGCATATGAGCCGCTTGCTCATCCTCCACCGGTTTACCAATCAGTTCCAGATTGTTAAATAACCTTGTCATCTTTTGCACATGGGCTTGAAGTGGCATCCCAGGTCTAAGTCTTGCACTATAAACCCTAGCCCATACTTCTTGCCTTTCTTTGCTAAGACATCCATCTTGCGGTGGCTTGATCCTCATGTTAGACAATGACCTAGTCACTTCTTCCACGAGTCCATCATAATTTCCCTTATCGCTCTTTGTTACCCTCAAATTGGCCACATCTTCTAGAGCCTTGAGAAATACATCCGGAAGGTAGTTGGAGAATTTCTTCTTCCACTGTTCCAGAATGGAGTTTTCCATGAGTCGAGAGACTCTCTTGAAATCATAACTCCACTCCTCATGAGCCATATCGCTCATAATCCCTTTTGAGTAGAAACTCGGGATGGGCGTATCCAAGATATGCTCTAGGTAGAAATTGCGGAGGGTCAAACGGAGTTCCTCTTCCCATTCCTTGAAGTTTACCAAATTCAAGCTAAATGATAACTTCTCAGGAAGTTCTGGGAACATAAGATTGTTGTCGATAGTTGAAGACATGATTCTACATTTGAAAGAATTTTGAAATGAAAAACCATTCATGAAATTTAAATAAGATTGAATTCATGCATTTTAATCAAACTTATTAAAAAACGTCTTATTCACACATTTAAAGTTGTCCCTAATTTGGTGAGAATAAGTCGATTCCAAGATTCGAAGAAACAAAGTGTGGTTAAGCATGCTTTGGCTTGTCTTAACACTCAATCTCCTAAGGTAAGCAACGCTTTGCTAATGGCTCCAAGCCACTCTTGGTTGAATAAATCGTCGCATCTAATGCTCTCTCAACAATTTATTCACTTTTCCACGACATGTTAGAACTCCATCACTCATATCGTTGAGTACAACCAAAACCAACTTGCATACCCGATATGCCTTACGCTCCTAGGAGAGGTAGTGATGCCTCGCTTTGGCGTAGCCCACCACTACCCTCGTTCGGTTGCTAAGTGTGTTTTGGAATGGCAAGTTTTTACTCAATATTTAGGGACCTAGGGTTTCTATATTGGTTTATTTAAGTGAACTTAATTAATCATCACAACATTCAAAATCCTAAACATGCATCTAACATATAATTCATATACATAAACATATATATATAGAAAAAAATAAATATAGATGCATTTGGCAACTAGCATGACCCCTTGAGATCTTCAATTCTTCAAAAGGTTTCACTAGGCGAAAATATGTAATGGCCACCGGTTGAAAACCCCCCATTGCCACTGGTTTTGAACCGGTGGTCATTTGAGGGGTGGCAATAAAGCATCGCATGGCCACCGGTTCAAAACCGGTGGCAATAGTCGTCATGGCCACCGGTTAACCGGTGGTAATAATAATTATGGCCACCGGTTAATCGGTGGCAATAATAATGGCACAAATTTTTTTTGGAGGGGAAGGCTGACTATTGCCACCGGTTTGAACCGGTAAACCGGTGGCAATAATAAGATTTAAATTTTTTTTTTTGCCTGCAATTATTCCTGCAACTGATCCTGCGATAATATTCTGCCATATTATTGCTATAAATTCTACCATAATATAATTATTATTAATAATCATAACAAGAATTAAAAATATATATTCAGACTTTTATAATTAAAAACCAAATGTAATACAACATAAGCTTATAAAGTGTGATATACAAATAAATACAAACAATACTAATAACTAGTCAATATTGTAGTCTAAAAGTTAATAATTAACAAAGTATAAATTCAAAATGATGTCACATTTACAAATTGAAGGTGATGAAAGATGCCAACATGTCTCGAACTTCATTAAGCTCCTTGCTTGTTAACGGATCTCCCTTTTGCAGCTTGCAAAATTTGGAATATATATAAATTATGTTAGAATAAATTAAATTAATTAGTTAAGTTAAACATGTGAGTAATAAATATGTAAAAAATTAAATACTTGGGTCAAAACGGTCAAAAATTAAATACTTGACTTCTACTTGCCCATTTTCTACATTTTTAAACAAATGACCAAGTTCTTTCTCATAACATGTCAATTATACTTAGTTATAGGTGGCTAAGCCGTGAAATCATAGAAAAAGAGTATTTTACTAAGTTTAAGGTCGCATTTTCATCCAAAATAGCCTAAATAAGGCCTATTTGATTTCTACTTGCCCATTTTCTACATATTTAAACAAATGACCAAGTTTTTTCTCATAACATGTCAATTATACTTAGTTATTGGTGGCTAAGCCTTGAAATCACAGAAAAAGAGCATTTTACTAAGTTTAAGGTCGCATTTTCATCCAAAATAGCCTAAATAAGGCTTATTTGACTTCAACTTGCCCATTTTCTACATTTTTAAACAAATGACCAAGTTCTTTCTCATAACATTTCAGTTATACTTAGTTATTGGTGGCTAAGCCTTGAAATCACAGAAAAAGAGCATTTTACTAAGTTTAAGGTCGCATTTTCATCCAAAATAGCCTAAATAAGGCCTATTTGACTTCTACTTGCCCATTTTCTACATTTTTAAACAAATGACCAAGTTATTTCTCATAAAATGTCAATTATACTTAGTTATAGGTGGCTAAGCCTTGAAATCACAGAAAAAGAGCATTTTACTAAGTTTAACCGCATTTTCATCCAAAATAGCCTATATAAGGCCTATTTGACTTCTACTTGCCCATTTTCTAAATTTTTTAACAAATGACCAAGTTCTTTCTCATAACATGTCACTTATACTTAGTTTTTTGGTGGATAAGCCTTGAAATCACAGAAAAGAGCATTTTACTAAGTTTAAGGTCGCATTTTCATCCTAAATAGCCTAAATAAGGCCTATTTGACTTCTACTTGCCCATTTTCTACATTTTTAATTAAATGACCAAGTTCTTTCTCATAAAATGTTAGTTATACTTAATTATTGGTGGCTAAGCCTTGAAATCATCGAAAAAGAGCATTTTACTAAGTTTAAGGTCGCATTTTCATCCAAAATAGCCTAAATAAGGCCTATTTGACTTCTACTTGCCCATTTTCTACATTATAAAACAAATGACCAAGTTATTTCTCATAATATGTCAATTATACTTAGTTATTGGTGGCTATGCCTTGAAATCACAGAAAAAGAGCATTTTACTAAGTTTAAGGTCGCATTTTCATCAAAAATAGCCTAAATAAGGCCTATTTGACTTCTACTTGCCCATTTTCTACATTTTTAAACAAATGACCAAATTCTTTCTCATAACATGTCAATTATACGTAGTTATAGGTGGCTAAGCCTTGAAATCACAGAAAAAGAGCATTTTACTAAGTTTAAGGCCATACCTCATCAAGATGTATGGTGTTGGTACAATGAGTCGCTATGTCAAGCATGAATCTTATCACGTATAATCCACAATCAACTCCATTATCTTGTTGTGGGAACTAGCATAGGAACAAATCAAATGAGTCAAACGTCACATAAAACCCACAATTGTTTTAGCAATTTTTATTAAGATAATCACAATATGATGTGGCATTACCATAGGTGATTTCCATGTAGGACCCCGTGGAGCACGACCATGTACCTTCTTCATAATACTATAGGAAAGTAAATTCAAATTTGATTAGTTTGACTACTAAATGAGTTAGTTTAAGATAATCAACACTAGGTAGCTATATTTACTTTTGTAGTACAGACATCACGAGGTACTTCTTTGTTGATCGAGCTGAATCAAGGTGAAAGATTGTGTTATTAGCAGGACAAATCACCATGAGGAACCAATGAAACATACATAAATTCACAATACACAAACAAATCAATAATTAGGGTACAACAAATAATTAAAATGTAGAAAGAATTGAATTACACATGGTTAAACGTACTCCTCATAACATGGGGCGAATATGAACTTGTCTCCCGCACGCATTGATTCCCTAATACTATGATTAAAATAATACATCACCTCGGAGGAGTTGTGTAAGATTCTAGTCTCGGATGTCTGTTCGGGGCATAACCACCCAACTTTAGTAGGGGAATCAATGTCACTTAAGTGCTCCCGTAGTGCTCTACGTGCATGTGCAATGAAAAATTAATTGACATGAGTCGCTCGTTCAACTGTCCCTCGGAGACACGGTCGAGAAATGCCATTACCAGGGTAACCTCCGTATGAAGGATAAACAACACTAATATGAATAACATAATTAATTTAAGTGGCATGTGCCCGTACCTCATGAATATTTGAATGAGAGAAATGTTAAGCATTGAACCTCTTAAAAATTCCTTCACATCTTGTTTGTTTAACCATGCACTTGCATCCTCATCATAATGGAACATTGCCTTAGGAAGTGCAATTTCAATGGGATCGTCACTAGGAAAATGACTAAAACGATTGTGTAGAAAAGTTAAATCCTTAGTGAGCGATTGAAGGACATTGTCTCCAACAAGTGGAGTAGGTTGCATGGCTGAACCTTTCGAAGAATTCTTTTTCGACACTTGTTCACTCTTCGACCCTTGTTCACTCATCTTCTTTGTAGGTTGATCAACGCTTTTAGGCTTCTCCACCTTCCTTCTCTTTGATGGTTGACTTTTTTTCGAAATCTGATCAAAACAAAGATAATTAGAGTTCAAAAATTTTTGGCCGGGGTTTAAGCTAATAAGTACGCATGCACGTGGCCATTACACATAGCTACCCTTTGCTTCCCAAAGAAGAGTAATCCCATCATCCACTATAGGCACCGGTAGTGGGATATTTTCAAACCCAGCAATGTAAGAATTGATCCTGACCGAGTAATGTTGTGGCCTAAGCGATTGGAAATGGACCATATCACCAGTCGTCGCTTGTGCACTACCATACGCCACGAACTGCAATTCTCATCCATTTGATAGCCCCGGGGCTAGAAGTGTACACTCGGTCTCTACCTACACCAGTAACGAAATTCACTTGTAAAAACTGAAATTATCAAAAAGGGTCTTTTCCTACACAATTGATCATGTAATGAAATTCACTATGTTAAAACCAAACACGCTCCCTCGAATCCTAAATTCACCTCTAAATTTGGAAATTCATGGGGTGTTGGATTATCAACCTCCCTCGAGTCCGCATGTGTGGGAGTAACAACCTGCAATAATTAATCAATAATGCCACATTAGATCTCACGTAACTCACAAGTTAGGCCAAAACTAATAGATAGAAAACTACCTCATGTATCTCCTCTTCTCCATGTCTCTTATATTCTCCTTGTCCTTTTGGGTGACTACTGGAGTCGACCGGTGTAGTTGAGGGGAATGACAAGGGTAAGTTCATTTGCTTCGCCCAAGCATTGAATTCACCTATTAACTCATTGCAAACTTGTTCCTTGATGGATGCCACCTTGGCATCCAATTCTTCCGGTGAGTTAACACTTGCTCGAGATCTTCCCATTTTTGTATATTCTGAACCCATCACATTCTCCCATCCTAGCAACGTCCCTCCCATACCTACTACCCGGCCTGGATGGTAGGGCTTTCCCAAAGCCAAGGTGAAGGGGTCTTTCTCTATAGTCGGGACCAGCTTGCCTTCAACAACTTCTGTAGTGTACTTAAGCTGTAGCATAAGAAAAAATGTTAACATGAATACATAAAATGTTTTTGTATGGTAAAGTTATGCTTAAGTTTCAAATAGCTTACAAGTTTATCCGCCACTTTTTTTTCCGGTTCCTTGATTACCCATTTTCCGGTGTCCTTATCAAAGGAATGTAGAGAACAAATGAAATCGCCAGCACGACTAACCAACGTAGTGATCGTGGAGTTGGAGGGTTCGAAGGATGACCCTTGAGTCATAGTGGGGTATATACCCTCCTTCTTCCAAGTTTTCCTCCATTTACCAAATGTCTTGGCCCCCGTACGATGGCGGTACTCCTTCTTCAATGAACTTGCCTTGTTTTGCTCTCGAATTTCCTACATAAATAGTAATGTTAGCATCATTACTGCAAAAAGAGTCAATATATTATACAATTCTCATTAGATTTAGTAGTTCTTACAATTGCTTTGGGTCGAGTTTTTTGAATAACAAAGTCTTTCCACTCGTCCTCCATCACGCTTGGCCATTTTTTCCACGGTGGGTCTTGTTCCTCAACATCTTCCTCATTTCCACCTTCACCATCATTTCCCTTGGAAGCTTTCTTCTTGTGTTTCTTTTTCTTATAGATCCATCCACTGGTCAAGTGGGTCTTGAAGCCTCTGAATCTCTCCGCTAGTAAAGAATCAAACACCCTTCTCTTCTGGGGATCATTAGGAATACTAAACAGCTTCTGCAATCACAAATACAAGCAATTATTATTTTCCATTTACAAACAAACTTTAGGTGAAATTATTTGTAATACATGTAAATGTGCATTTGAACAAAAAACTTGCCCTGGTATCATCCCAAAATGTTTGAATCAAGCCTGGAGGTATTTGCTTCCAAGAAAGTGTAATGGGGATTTTGCGCGAACATATGCCAACTTGGTTTGCATATTTCTGAATCCATTGGCCAGTAGGTCGGCCTCTTTTGTCATACTCCAACACCATGGGACCGGTTGGCTTCTTAAAACTTGTTGTCGGATCCCTACCCTTTCTCTTAGCTGGTGCCTTTACCCCTACTCCACCACCTGTGTTCAATTGCTCCTTTCCTTGGCTTTGAGTTTGAGGAGTAGTGTTCTCACCAACAATCTCAACAATTGACGAATCAATAGCAGGCGCACGTTCAGCTGAAAGTTCAAATTCATCAAGCCTGCGCTCAAAAGCATCTTGTTCCTGATCTTCTAGCTCACCCTAATCAGTCTCCTTGTTGACATCATATGGCTCGTCCTTGTCCTCATCCTCATAGCCATCATCATCATCCTCCAAATCCTCTACTAGTGGGTCATAATCGTCCTCCATGAGTTATAAACACCTGTCATTACAAACATAACACGATATTAGGTCCATAAGAGATAAACATGTTGACATATAGGTCATAATACATGTTAGTATATAAAATATTAAATTCAATCATTTTTGATGCATTTTGACGTAACTTGTTATTTTCTAGTACCGTTAACACTAAAAAAATTAAATTCTATCATAATATGTCAATTTTGAGATATACTTCATTCAAATTAAATGGTATAGTACCTCATTCTAATATTCCTTCGTTGTGGTCTGACCGCATATAACATGTCTGGTCGTCTATGTCATTTGATGCAATAGGTCTAGGAACAGTGAAAGGTGCTGAATCATCAAATGCATCGTATTCTTCCTCATCTTCAACATCTCTAATGCCTAGGATTCTTCTTTTCCCAGCTAGCACAATGGACCATCTTGAATCGACTGGGTCAGTTACATAGAACATTTGCTTAGCTTGAGAAGCTAGGATGAACGGTTCCGCTCTATCATTTAAGTGCCCAAGATCTACAAGAGTAAAGTCATCATACTTGACATTACGCCTGATATTATCAACCCACTTACATTTGAAAAGAGCAACCGTGAAGTTACAATAATCAAGCTCCCATATTTCTTGAATTCGATCGTACTATGACAATTTTGCATCGACAGGTGATTTATCCTTAGCACTTGCAAACTCCCTTGACGATGCCACAAGCGTTACTCCATTGTTTTGGTTCGACGTAGATTTCAAATCCCGACCCTCTGTCCAAAAAGTTTACCCATTGATGTCATATCCCTCAAATGAGCGAACATCATCCCTAGGACCATAAGCAAGCCACCTTACTGTATCGGTGACACTATCATCCAAGCGACTAATCACTCTTTAACTAAACCAACTCACAAACCTCTTATTATGCTACTGCATTAGTGCCCTTTCACCTTTCGATGGAAATTCATCACGCAAACTAGCCATGTGCTCATCTAAATATGAGTGAACATCCGCAACATGGTGCAACACATAAAGCTGTGCTTGTAAGAACTGATCCCGATCCGTTGACATTCGTTTCGACCCAATTGTGCCATGACCATCTAGTCTCCCTTCATGTCGAGAAGCAAGAAGACCAATAGGTTCAGCAACGGCTAAATAGTCGGCCACAAAATTACCAATCTCCTCACTCACGGTCCCTTGAATCATGCTTCCTTCCGGATGAGCCGGATTCCTTACTTTATCTTGAAATGTGCCCATGTGTCTTTCAAAAGGATAGCACCACCTCAAGAAAACTGGACCGCACAACTTAATCTCACGCACCAAATGAAGAATGAGATGCACCATTATGTCAAAAAATGAGGGTGGGAAATACATCTCAAATTTGCACTAAGTCACAACCACATCTGTTTTCAAAGCATCAAGTGTACAAGGATCAAGCACTTTGCTTCATATTGTATTGAAAAACGAACATAGGCTTGTAATAGCTTCCCTCACGTGCTTCGGTAAAATACCACGTATTGCAATCGGTAGAAATACTTGCATCAACATGTGACAATCATGGGATTTCATACTTGTCAGCTTCAGTTCTCCACTTAAGGATACAAATCTTTTCATGTTAGATGCGTACCCAGATGGAACTTTAATGCCGTAAAGACATGCACAAAACATCCGCTTTTCTACCCTTGACAATGTGTAGCAAGCCGGTGGTAAATACTTCTTCTCAACCTTGCCTTTACCCTCATCTCTACTCTTTGAAGCATCCGAGGCCTTTCCGTTTCCTTGCTCATCCCCTTTCCTTTTTTCGAAACATTTACAGTTTCTTGTTCCGGTTCCTTTCCCTTTCTGTCCTCGCCCTTTGTAACCTTGTCTTGAGGCCACAATTCCGGACGAATCCCGATCTCTTCCAAATCTAACCGTACACCCTTTCCATCCTTTGTTTTGCCTGAAATATTAAAAAGTGTTCCCACAAGAGCATCACACAGATTCTTCTCTATATGCATCACATCTAGACAGTGCCTAACATCATGTTCTTTCCAGTACGGAAGCTTCCACAAAATTGATTCTTTTTTGAAAAGAGCTGTTGAGACCGGAGCTTTTTCAGATTTTCTAAACACTTTTCGTATAACCTTAACTCGAGCATAAACCTCAACACCGGTCAATGACCAAGGCGCAGTCTCCTCTTCCACTGTCCCATCGAAAGCCTTTTTTTGCCTACGGTACGGGTGATCACGCCTAAGGAACCTTCGAGTCCTTATATACTCATCTTTGTGAGAATTCTTAAGGTATATGCTTGATGTTTCATCAATACATATGGGGCATGCTTTTTTCCCTTTAACCTTGTACACACACAGGTTTCCATATGCAGGGAAGTCATTCATGGTCCACATAAGGGTTGCACGCAATGTGAACACCTCGTTCTTATGAGCATCAAAACAAGAAACCCCTTCATCCAACATCTTTCTCAAATCGTCAATTAGTGGCGCAAGGTAAACATCTATGTCATTTCCAGGTTGCCTAGGCCCGGTTATTAGCAATGAAAGCATTATATACTTCCGTTTCATACATAACAAGGAGGCAAATTGTAGATCACTAAAAGAACCGGCCAAGTGCTGTGTTGGGTACTAAGAGTGCCAAATGGATTCATCCCGTCTGTGCACAACCCAAGTCTTAAATTTCTGACTTCATTACCAAACTCCAGAAACTTCAAATCAATGTTCTTCCATTTCGGGGAGTCAGCCGGATGCTTCAGCATTCTGTTTTTCTTCCTTCCCTCGGCATGCCACCTCAAGTTTTTAGCGTCTTTTGGTGTTGAGAATAGACGCTTAAAACTTGGAATAATAGGAAGATACCACAACACCTTAGCAGGAGGTCCCTTCGTACCAGGATTGCAACTCATGCGCTTGTAGCGCGATTGCTTGCATCGTGGACACTCCTCCAATTGTTCATTCTCATTATGATACAAAATACAATCATTAGGACATGCATGTATCTTCTTATACTCTAAACCAAATGGACACATAAGCTTCTTTGCATAATAGTAAGACGTAGGAATTTCATTCCCATCAGGCAACATCTCACTTAATGCGGTCAACAAAGAAGTAAAACTAACGTCCGTCCACCCATGCTTCGACTTAATGTTAAAAGTGTTAGCACGGCAGAAAGTTTGGAGTATTTTTTGCACCCAAGGTACAAAGGCTTTTTGGAAGCCTCCGTTAGTAATTCAAACACATCACCTTCGACATTATGTAACATCTCATCCACGTCATTATCCTCGACCTCATCCACTGGATGATCCTCAGCTCCATCCTCACCACTATCAATAACATATTCATCATTCTCCCATTCCTCGTCCACATGAATCTCATTGCTTTTATCATGCACATCATTCCCATCAAGATCCTCACTATACTCTCCACTTTCACCATGCCAAATCCACACATGGTATTTAAGTCTAAACCCACGTCAAAGTACATGATCTCTAATGATTTCAACACTATTGACCACCTTCACATTATTACAATCAACACAAGGACAGTATAGGCCTTCCTCACCAATTTTGCGCTGATAAGATAAAGCCGTCTCGCAAAACTCTTGAACCCCATTCCAAAAATCCATTGTATCACGTCTACCATACATCCAACCACGATCCTTTCCCATTTAGTAAAGTGTCTCTAAACATATATAGCAACATATTATTAATAATGTACAATTGCTACATATCTTATGTAAATCAACTTCAAGTACACACCGTGAATATACCATTCCATATATTGAACAAATGCATGTTTCCAAAGTGTCCTTATCACTCCAACCTAACCCATCCTTGAATGTCTACTCTCACTAGTGAATGTATGTCAACATTCCAATTTTAAGGAAAATCCGGCAGTACTTCCCCCAGTTCTCCAAGTACAAGATGTAGATAATTACTTACCCACATATGTACCCAGAGAACATGGAGAAGAAATGGACAGCCAAGATGTTCCTTAAAATCGAAAAAAGACATACATTCACCACCTAAGTGAGAGTAAACATTCAAGAACAGTCCCAACCGGGGACTATTCAAGACTTTCTCCTAATGAGAAAGCCTTGAACGGGTATCTAGGCATATGATGATGCAAACATTCAACATATTATTGTAATTATTTATTATTAAACAAGACACAACTTGTAATATCATGAACAAACTTTTATCAAATAGATAAATAGAAAGAAATATAGCTACATAAAGTTTATAGTTCATACCAATATAGCAAGTATAATGGATGTAATGTCTCGAACTTCCCACTTGAATAGCTAATAAACTTGTTCTTCACTTCATAATATGAATCTACAAAAATAAAAAATAAAACAAAAAATAAAAGTTAGTAATTTTGTCAAGAACTATAAAACCACCTAAATTACACATTAAAACATACTACCAAATTCAACTAATTAAGTAACAAGGTTACTAATAATCTCTACTTTATTCAAAATTTCCTAATAAAACCTAACAATCAATTTAACACCACTCCAACATATCAAATTATACTCCATAATCCATATATTTCCTAAAAGCATTAGGAAAATCATTATGTAATGTAATCTAAAATGGATTATTGTCTACCAAAGAGAATTTCCCAATGATAAAAAATTAATGATCAAATTACCCACCCGGGTGTATATAATAAATTCTACTTTTGCCATGGATTAAAGAAATCAAGGGGATTATGCATGCAACAACTTACATTTGGGGAATCATCGGACAATCAAGCAGCAAACCTTAGTTGCGCCAGCATCATCGGCGTTCTGAATCAATTCTGAATTTCAATAAACAATTCAAGGAGCATAATCATATCAGAGTCTTCAACATAACATTATACGTAGTATAATTTTCCATCTGTTCAAATTTATAGGTTCGATCTTCTCATATTATTTTTCTTTTTCCTCTCATTTACACTGTTTTTATTCTTGTGGTTTCACCTCTAATTGCAGTTTATTTTTTTAAATAATCTGGTGTAATTCTGATTTAGTATAAGCACTTACTTCTAAATTTTAATTTTATGATTCACTAATATCAAGTAATTGCAGTTTTTTTTTTTTCAAATAACCTAATTCATGAAAAATTAATCAATTTGTTGCATTCTAAAGATACACACAATTAATCAATAGAATGCATTCTAAAGATGCATTCTCTCAACTTTTAACCTTAACAACAACAAAAAAAAACTCAGAAATTTAGAAAAAATTACCGTCAATTACTATGCAATTTCGAACGGTGGCTGTGGGATGGTGGTGCGGTGGCTGTGGCGTCAATGCTGACAGGTGGTGGACGGACCACGCACCTCAGTGGTGGAGGGAGTTTCCCCAAAAAATCGAATTTCGCCCTGTCCTTCGCGCTGCTTGCTGCTTTGCTCACTGGTGGAGGAGGTTCGGAGGGAGTGCGGAGGTGGTGGAAGGTGGTGCGGCGTCGCTGGTAGAGTGTGTGGTGGTAGGGTTTGGATGGTGGTGCGGCGTCACTGGTGGCTCGTACTGGAGTTTTGGTGGAAGTAAAACAGTGAAGTATTTGGATGGGGAAAGAGAAGAAGAAGGGCCGCGCGTTTTATGTATTCAAATATTGCCACCGGTTCAAAACCGGGGGCCTTAAGCATTATTGCCACGGGTTCGGTTTGAACCGGTGACAATAATAAATGCCTTATTCGCGGCCATTTTTTAAACCACCGGTTTTCAAAAACCGGTGGCCTTTAAACGGTGGCCTTTTCAATTTTTCTACTAGTGTTTTCATTGCAACTTTCATGGCTACGTCTTCCAAGAACCTCTAACTTCAAGACTTGACCATAATTAGCAACTACTAGTATCTAAGCTTAGGACACATCTAAATATTAAGGTACAAAAATACTCAATGGTACGCAGACCGTATTTAGATTTACAAAAATTCATCACGGATTGCAATCCGTATTTTCTATCCTTATCGGCCCCACTAGTTGCCATTTCATAAAACCTGTGAGAGAATATACATTCCATTTATCCATTCATTATTTGTGAATGGCCCATGCATTTTACAACGATTAACAAGTAACAATGCATAAACACGTGTGATCTAGTAACTAATCTAGGTGGTTAATCCAATTAACACGCCTAATTAAAACTAGTCAAAGTTGTTTTAATCGGTTATGTAAATAAGCACAATTGACATTTGAAGCTCCCACTAAATTCCGCATCCAACCTAATTAATCCAATTAATTAAGCCGTTAATTCCCAAAATTTGTCAAAATAAATTTTTCCAATGCTGCTCAAACCTGAGGCCTAGCCTCCAAAATTTATTAAAATAATTAAAACAAATTAGATTAATAAAGTAAGTAAAACGACAATTTTTAAGCAAAATACGTAGTCCAAAGTGTCTAGGTACCTAGCACTAAGACATGGAGTGCTCACATTTCGCACAACCATTTGATGCTAATGAACGTGGGAGTGGGCCCGATGTCGCTAAGCGTTACACCACCCACATCAGCGAACTTTCACACACCAATAACGTGGCCCTTGATGGCCATGTTGAACGAATTCATTACACTAAAGCTACGTCTACGCATACCCCTAATTACACGACGCATGCACCAAGTCCCAAGCAATGCACGATGTGCTCGTGCTTGCACCAGCCACGGCCAGCCACGCAAGGCAGCACGCACAGGCGCGCACAACACCTTGCTGCTGCTGCGCCGTGCTGCTGCTTGGTGCTTGCTGGCGCGTCATGCTACTGGCAGCAAGCAGCACCCATACAACGGCTCGCGCGCAAGCTTGGGGTTGCATCCTTGGCAGCCACATGCGGGCTGCTATGCAGCCCGGCTAGCCAAGTGATGTGTTGCCTCTTTTTGCATGCCACAGCCTCGGGATTTGATCCCAATTTTGCGTGACATAATTATTAATTCTAAATTAATTTTAGAACTAATTCATTTGAGCAAAATTAAAAAATTTAAACAAGTCTAACTTAAATAAAATTTTTAAAGTGCGTGTAACCAAAATAATTCCCAAGAACCATTCTTTAATTAAATTGGTTTAACTTGGTGCAACAAAAATAATAGGGCAATTACTCACTATTAATTTAATTAATTTAAATTAACCTTGAGTTTTTGACAAAATAAGAGGGAGTTGGAAAAATGAACATAAATTCAATAAATATTCTAACTTTAATACTTGTGAATCCTTGAAAAATTATGTCTTCCAATATGTAGATAAACAATTTTTTTTATCACAAAGTTTCAAACTTTATGATTCCAATCAACTAAAAAATGATTAAATCAACAAAGTTTAACAAAAATTCATGGAATTTAGTAATATAAAGTTTCAATCACTTAACATAATTAAAGATTGAATCTTTAATACTTGGAGGCCTCAAAGAACAAAAATTTCACACTTAATGCAATTAGTTTGCAATTACGTGAAAAAATAAAACCAAGCATTCAAGCATAAATTACTACCAAGTAATCATGCCTAAAGAGGTTTAAAATTGCATATAAAATATGTATTGAACCAATTACATAACCAACATAAATATGCAATTAATTTTCAAGGTTATAAAGACTTAAAAGTTTTCGTAAAAACAAAAAAACCCTCAAAAATAGCATTGCTTGGCTTGACTCGACTTTTAGCATTGCATGGCTTGACTCGACTTTTAACAATCCACTTAGCAAGTCATTGTTGATTTATTACTAATTTTTCCGTCTCGTCTTTTACTATTTTTGACTCGACTTCCGACGCTCGGTTTCGACGCTCTGAGCTCGAATTTCCGACGTCTAAATATTTAACACTCGGGCGACGAATTAATTTCTTCCGAATTAATTCGTCGAGTCGGTTCGTATATTTGCTTGGGTGTGACCCGAAGGGTTCAGTCAAGATTAAGATGTAATATTAATTATACATTAATATTACTGATCGGAAGCGGCCTCCACCTAGTCATTCCGATCACTTGACCTTACTTAATATATTAGCTTTCTAATAATTCTAAACCTGCTATCAAAATAATACACTTGTTCGAAGGACACCATTCCTTTCAATATAATCGCTGAAATTCGCAAGTGCATGATGGTTCTATTATCCCCGAACGTGGGTCGCAGATGATTTACCTTCAAGTCGACTATCCGACTATATTAGGTGCTTAAAGTGCTTGTTAGGGGTAAATCGGTAATTTTGGTACCCTTTAAATACCAATTAAAATTTTCTGCACAATTTCGGTGAGAAAATAACTGTCCAAAAATTGTGGAAAATCGTTCCAACTTGGTCAAAGATGCCAGAATATTTACCGAGAAATTTAAGGAGCATGTAGGACACAAACAAGGCACCACGCCACGAGAAAGGATCCCGCGACATGGTGGACAAGCCCCATCAGGCGGTAGAAATCCCCGTGACGCGGGACCTTTTTTTGTTAAAATTTTCACCGTGTCACGCGCTGTTTTACCGTTGCGTGGTAACGGGATTCGTGGCATGGGAACGGAAGAGCGTAACGTTATTTTTGGCTTTAAATATCAATTGTTGTTTCCCATTTTCGCCACTTTTTCTTCACCATTTCAAATCTCGATCTCCTACTGTTCTCTTTCCTTCTTCCCTTTTTTTTCTTTTATATTTATCCGGCCACCGTGCCACGGCCAAAGGCACCGGCGAGCGGGAGAATCCACCGTGACACGGCGTCCGACCTGCGCACGACCATTTTTTTACCCTTTTTTCCTCTGTATATTGTCGATGCTGCTGCTTGAGCTCTGATGCTGCCGCCTGATCTCCACTGCTGTCGAGCATTCACAGTGACATGGACAGTGGTCATCGTGTCACGGCGGCAGATTCTCGAGCCGCGGTGGTTGCGGTTGTCGTACGAAAGCATTTCTGCGATTTTTCGAGCTTTTGGAGCTCAAATGTCCACCAAATTTGCTCCAATTTTTTGCTAATTTCCTCAATTTTGATTTCTCACAAGGATCTATGTAAGTTTCCTTTGTTTTTGTCTCAATTTTTTTTGTAAATTCCATACATGCTTGAAACCCTAAAAAAAAAATCAAATTGGGGGTTTTTAATTTTGAGCTTCCATGTCAACATTCTTGCTATGAATTGACTTGTATATGAATGTATGTGTGTTTGTGAGCAATTTGAGACCAAGTTTGTGTATTTTGGTGAGAAATTGAGCAAATCACCATTTTTTGGTACTACTTGTGTGAAATGGTGTTCTTATTGTTCATGTCATTCTTTTGCACTTGAAATGGTGATATATTGGTTGTAGATCTTGTATAACATGCCATGATGTGCCGATTTATCGTTCTTGTGCAATTTTGAAACATGCTCTGTTTTGTGTATGTTGTCATGGAGAACATAGTATCATGCAATTAGGAGAACATAGTATTAGTTCGTCATGGAGAAACTATATACTAGAAATAATTCCATTATTTTTCTAAGTTTTAGCCTTCAGGTAAAAATTTTGGGTATAATAGAAAATGCAGCTTGAGATAACTGTTAAGCCGTTTTTGAATAAATAACTAAATAACTTCGGAAATTATGCTGAGTATTTAGATTTTTATTTTTGTAATAGCATGCCTAGACAACGGGATCGCGATCTTTCTACTCGTGGTCGGCGTCAGGCTTTTCGGGAGGACACTCCCACAGTTCCTGAGGGCATGGACGACGATACCCTAGAG